CCCTTCGCCCCCCCCGTCCCACCCTCCCCGGGTTTCTCACACCCTCCTTCCTTCTCCACCCCCTCTTCCTTATCCCCTGTCTTGCCACTCTCAACCTTCCTCCCATCCTTCCCCTTCTCCCCCGCACTTGCACCTGCACTAGCCAGCTCTCCAGCCTTCCCTGCCTGCTTCCCCCCCCTGCCCTGCTGCCCCTGCTGCTGCCTCTGCCCGTCCTGCTTCCCACTGGAAGAACCACCACCAGCGCCATGAGACTGCGTCCCCTGGTGCTTCTGGCTTCTCCCTCCAGCCGACCCAGCGCCACCGCCTGCCTGGCCTGCGCTTCCCTGCCCGGCCCCACTGTCCCCCAGACGTTTCAGAATAGCAGCGTTGTTCCCCTGCCACGCCGGGCGCCGGGACCTCGCCGGCTGTGGTGCCGCTGCCAGCGGTTTCCCATCCGCGGCTGTAGCAGCAGCAGCTGCGTCGCTCGCGGCTGTAGCAGCGCCAGCGCCGGCAGAGGCACCTGCTGCCTGCCCGTCCTCCCCACCAGAGCGTGCCGCTACAGCCGTGGTAGAAGCAGCACCGCCTGTAGCACCACCCGTTGCACCAGCAGCAGCCCCCACACCAGCAATAGTTGCACCCCCTGCGGTCCTATCCGCCCCTTTGCCCGCCCCCTTCTTTCCCCCGCCCTTACCTTCCTTTCCCCCTCCTGCAGCCGGCGCCCCCCTCTTCACCCACACACCCGCGGGTTTCTCCTCCCCACCTGCCCTCCGCCCCCCCCTTCCGCCCGCCCCCGCAGCAGCTCCCGCCGCCCCCCCTGCGCCCCTCCCTTGCGCCTTCTCCTTGGGTCCGCTAGACACTTTAATCCACCCCTCCTCCTCCTCGTCCCCAGCCTTCTCCCCGCTCGCGCTCGCGGCTTTAGCCGCTGGTTTACCCTCTTTTGGAGGGCTACTTGAGCGGGTCTCCCCTGGCGCTGGTGTTGTTGCTCCTGCCACAGAAGCAGGTGCGTCAGTGCTAGCAGAAGCGCTAGCTGAGTCCGAGCGGGGTTTTTCCTTGCTCGCCTCCGCCACCCCTGCTGCGCCTGCTCCGCCTGCCACTCCCCCTGCCCCTCCGCCAGTCTCTCCCGCGCCCCCCCCTGACGGCACTCCCGCTGCGCCCTCCGCGCCTTCAGGACTTCCCCCAGCAGCCGCGCCTTCCTCCGCCTTCCCCAGCAAAACCGCAGCAAATGACACATTGGCGCTGCGCACCGACCACACACTCCCCCCACCTCCCGCCCCACCTGCGCCCCCCTCCCCCAAAGCCTTCCCCGGACTCCCGCCTCTCCCCGCCCTCTCCGCGTCTGCCTCCCCCGCTTTTCCCCCCTCCGCCCCTTGCTCGGAAGAGGAGGACTCTTCGCTCCGCCTGTCCTCCGTATGGAGAACCCCGTTACCGTTACACTCCGCCTCGTGCTCCCCCCCGCCCGCGGACGACCGCTCCTCGCTGCTGCTTCCCCCCGTGGTGCTCAAATCGGGGGAAACCAGTCCGCTCCCGCTACTTCCGCTTCCAGACGACTTGCTGCAGCCGTCCACCTCCCCCTGCCGCCACCGCCCTGCGGAATCCGCGCGGCCTCCGCTGTCCTTTCCGCCAGCTGCGGGAGGCGCGGGCGGCGGCGGCGGAACTGCTGCTGCCCCTGCTGCGCCGCCGCCTCCCCCTCGCCCTGCGCCCGCTCCTCCTGCTCCCCCTCCCCCCCCCCCCAGCATGCCCCACGCTGTTGCCCGCTTGGTTCTGCGCGGAGCGCCAATGCGCCCCCTGATGCGGGTGCCCGTGCTTCTTCCCTCGGAAATGCCCCCCACCGCCGCCAGAATAACCGCCGCGCATACCCCTGCCCTTGGGTTTGACCTTCTCCCACTGCCCGCCCTCCTCGTCCCCCTGCTGCTGCTTCTCCCCCTCGCCTTCTCCCCCTTCCAGCAACCCAAAGACTCTCAGCAAGTTGTTCGCCTGCACGAGGAGCCAAGAGGGAAAAAGGCACGTGTGAAAGGTTGGGTTTTGAGACGTTTCAAAACTCCACAAACCAAAGACTCTCAGCAAGTTGTTGGCCTCCACGAAGAACCAAGAGGGAAGTGGGAAACGCAAAAACAAAAAGTCTGTGTTGTTGTATTTCCCGGCCCCTTCAGAAGGAAGGGGGAGCGCTGCTGCTCTCCCCCGCCCTTGAGCTAGAACTTGTCTTACTGCCCGCTCTCCTCGTCCCCCTGCTACTGATGCTGCTGCTGCTGCTGCTGCTGCGGCTGCTGCTGCAGCTGCCTTTCACTTTCCCCCCAATCCAGCAGACCAGAAATCCGAAAAAGGATATTCGCCTGTAGGAGGAATGAACAAAAACCCTCCTAGACCTTTCCTAAGGGCATCTTACCTTCGCGTTAAGAGACGCCTCAACTCCCCAGGCCACGCTACCTCCAAGCCACCATGCCTTAACGCAATCACAAAGCAAACTTCAACCAGCAACCAAGCAATCATCCCTTGCCAGGAAGGGATGATCTTGCATTCACCCCTAAAAGAAATATACCTCGAAACGTACCTCGGAACGTTCATCCTAAAGAAGGAGCGTTCTTTAGCATGAAAGAACGTATCCGCCCTGGTGCATTGGTACAAATTTCTGTGTGTCGACTCAAAGGCCAAAATTTTGCATTTACCCTTCCCATAGATCGTGCCTGTTTTATGCATACGCCCCCCTCACAGAACGTGTCTCGTCACGAAAAAGCGTTCTAGCACGAAAGAACATACCCGTCCTACTGCATTGGTACAGAGCCTTTTCAAGTTGACTCAAAAGGCATGTTCTTGCAGCCAACCCTCTCAAACGAAGTACCTCAAAGAGACTTTTGAGTCGACTCAAAAGTCAAAAGGCATGTTCTTGCAGCCAACCCTCTCAAACGAAGTACCTCAAAGAGAGAGTAAGTACAGAATCCGTATCCCTACGAACGCATCTGTCCTGCTGCAGTAGTACAGGTGTCAACTTAAAAGCCATGTTCTTGCATTGCATGGATCCACCCCTTTCAAAGAACGTGCATGAGGCGGAGACTGGGTATAACCAGCAATGATTTCGAACCACACAAGGGTATTGTGACTTGGCAAGGCATGTTCTTGCATTGCATGGATCCACATCCACCCCCTTGCAAAGAACGTGCATCAGGCGGAGACTGGGTATAACCAGCAATGATTTCGAACCACACAAGGGTATTGTGACTTGGCAAGGCATGTTCTTGCATTGCATGGATCCACATCCACCCCCTTGCAAAGAACGTGCATCAGGCGGAGACTGGGTATAACCAGCAATGATTTCGAGCCACACAAGGGTATTGTGACTTGGCAAGGCATGTTCTTGCATTGCATGGATCCACATCCACCCCCTTGCAAAGAACGTGCATCAGGCGGAGACTGGGTATAACCAGCAATGATTTCGAGCCACACAAGGGTATTGTGACTTGGCAAGGCATGTTCTTGCATTGCATGGATCCACATCCACCCCCTTGCAAAGATTGTGCATCAGGCGGAGACTGGGTATAACCAGCAATGATTTCGAGCCACACAAGGGTATTGTGACTTGGCAAGGCATGTTCTTGCATTGCATGGATCCACATCCACCCCCTTGCAAAGAACGTGCATCAGGCGGAGACTGGGTATAACCAGCAATGATTTCGAGCCACACAAGGGTATTGTGACTTGGCAAGGCATGTTCTTGCATTGCATGGATCCACATCCACCCCCTTGCAAAGAACGTGCATCAGGCGGAGACTGGGTATAACCAGCAATGATTTCGAGCCACACAAGGGTATTGTGACTTGGCAAGGCATGTTCTTGCATTGCATGGATCCACATCCACCCCCTTGCAAAGAACGTGCATCAGGCGGAGACTGGGTATAACCAGCAATGTTTTCGAACCACACAAGGGTGACTTGGCAAGGCTCGCAGCAACACCTGGTGACCTCAAGTCTAGATGAGGCGGCGTCTGACTGTGCTTACGAATGACATCGTATGTTGAACCATGAACACACGTCACGTGGTGAGGGCATCTCTACATGAAGCGGCGACTGACTTTGCCTGGAAATGACTTGGTGCATTGAGATAAAAAGAGAGCGCAACTCGGCAAAGGGGAGCACGAGTCGAAACGTGGTGAGGGCAGCTCTAAAGGAGGTGGTGACTGGCTATGGCTTCAAATGGCCTGGTTATTCAAATCATTACTAAACGTAACTCGGCCGATGGGAGCTAGAGTCAAAGCTTGGGTCGTGTAGTGATACAGGACCGAAGGAACTTGACTTGGTGATTGCACCTCTAGGTGACGTAGTGAGTACTTCTATAACCCTGCAGACCTCGAAAAAAGGGATATCTTGAGCCGAAGATTGGATCCGTTCGAGTAGTGCAAGCGCTGGTAACTGTAGCTTCAGGTGAGCTGGTTCGTTCAGCTAACTCTGACCCAACAGCACCTCGGCGAGAGGAAGTTTTGAGTCGTGACTCGGGCCCTTCATACTGATACAGGCAGGAACCGACGGATTTTGACTGATTTTCGCACATCTAAGCGAGTTCTTGTAACCCTACACACCTCGAAATGAGGGAGCTCGCGTCCAAGTCTGGTCTCGTCGGAATGGTACAGGCACCGGCGGAACTTGACTTGTTGGATGCACCCCTAGATGACCAACGCACCTCATCAAGTAAGAGCGAACGAGTCAATACTTGATCCGTCGCAATGGCGTAGGCACCAGTGATGAGTAAAGCTCTATGCCTTGGTTCGTTCGACTTGCTAGAACATCGGTTCGTACCTCGGTCAGGAAGAGCTCGAGTCAATACTTGGATCCGTCGCGGTGGTATGGTGGCATTGATGAGTAAAGCTCTATACTTGGTTCGTTCTACTTGCTAGAACCTCGGTTCGCACCTCGGTCAGGGAGAGCTCGAGGCGGAACTTGGGCCCGTCATCGCGATACAGGAAAACGGCAAAACTGATCTTGGTCATTTCACCTCTGAATGAATAATTTCCTACACCTTTTTTCCATTCTTTTTCACAGAAAAGGAAATGGTGTAAGCAGCGACCGTATAACCCAGCGTACCTCGGTCAAAGAGAGCTCGAGGCGGAACTTGGGCCCGTCGTAGTGATACAGGAACCGACGGAACTTGGTCTCGTCCAGCGGTGACCGTTGCTCCCGCAGACGAACCCTAACCTGCACGTCGCACAAAACAGAAGGTGGAAGACCAAGGGGATAGTCCGCTTGCCAATGCTGCATGAGAAAAGAAAGTGACAGTACAGTTTCAGGAACAGCAACACAAATTCACGCTAAGAAAATCATTTACCAAACAAACAAATAAAAAAAAAGGGAGGGGGGGGGGGAGGGGGGAAAGGGGGGGGGAAGGTGGGGGGGATTCGGGGGGTGTTGGGGGGGTGGAGGGGTGAGGGAAAAGGGGAGAAGGAGAAGGAGGGGATTCAACAGTCTGAAGCACAAGGTGAACCTTACTTGTGATGGAAATTTTGATAACGACGGGTCTAGGTTCAGGCCACCTTCGCTTGATGCCTATAATGGTACGGGTGACGAAACGGCAAGAAGAGGAAGGAGTAGCGAAACAAGTACACAGAAATCAAGCGAGAGGGGACGGAGTTAGAGAGAGAAAGGGAGGCAATCTGATGCTTCGCCGGTTCTCAGAACGCTAGCTATGAGCTATTCTGCACCTTAGCGGTCTCTACGTCACAACCATTTACAGTACAGCAGGAAAAGTATACACTTCCATTGATCAAATGCAGCGTTCTTCTGTTCTAAACAACTCTTTGGCTACCAAGGGATTCTGATAACAAACCTCGAAGACGCCGTGTAAATGGTGAGTGGTGTAGTTGTAGAGAAACAGCGGCATTCCCGGTTGAATCCCCCGAACCGACTCGTGATACTTCTGCGGTAAGCCTGGGAGCAAGGCATATGGGAGATCGAAGAACAGCGTGCGAGAATGAATCCTCGTATCGCAAAACGGCATTTGTTTCGCCTCGAACAGGATCAAACGGAGATCTAGCAACGAACGTCAACATGGGAATGGCACATATAGTTTGTCAATCACTGACTGAATACGAGCACATCGACAGCTTGAAAAAGACACGGAAGAAAAAAACTACAAAGAGACCTTCCCACGTAGAGTAAAAAAAACAAAAAAAACAAAAAAAAACAAAAAAAAAAAAACAAAAAAACGAAGGATGCTCATTAAGTTACAAGAACGTCGTTGAAACTGCGATGACGTGAGCACTGTGAACGACATAACTTTCAAGAAGACTCAGAAGTCATTTCGTCGAAGCTGCGATAAAGCGAGCAACGCGAACGCGTACGACGGGAACCAATACTGAAGAGGGCATCCAATGTTCGACAGCGATCGAGGGGTAAACGAAAATCCATTCCTCTTATCAGGTCCCTTAGTAGTTGCCATTAAAAGTTTTCGGCTGTGAACGATTTGCCTGAAGCCGATCTACGGCTCGATAGGCGTATCGCGTATCAATCACCGAGAGACGCAAACGTGTCGATCGCCGACAGTTGTAAACCTGTCAATCGCCACGTCACGGCCTCCATCGCTTCGTTGTTGCACACGAACACGTAAACCGCCAGCAGCGTTGAAGCCACCCCAAAAGCATCACCAAGGAGAAGAGACACCCGTCGATCGGCAAGAAACGGGCTGACTTTTGATCGACTCAAAAGTCAGCTCGAATACGTCACCCGTCAGCTGCGTTGAAGCCACCCCAAAAGCATCACCAAGGAGAAGAGATACCCGCAGATCGGCAAGAAACGGCTCACCGAAAAGCTCGCGTTTAATGTCATCCTCCATGGTTTCATTGTTGCACACGAATATATAACCCGCAAGCGGGTCCTCCAACGGAGGAACGTCCGTCGACGGAACGGCAGACTTCCGATCGTGAAACCCCTCCTGCTGCCGGTACGTCTTTAAGTTGGCCATTTCAAATGGCCTGGCGGAGGGCCTGGACGGCCCAGCGCCTTAACCTAAGACTGCTTCACAAACTGAAAACTAACGGAGATTAATATGGCGCTTCCGTTACAGGCCGACTCGACCTGGCCGTCCAACTAAATCCCGATAATGGAGGATGCAACGATAAGGGTTCCGACGTAGCAGACAGATGAACGAGAGAGATCGAGACGCCGATGGCAGTCTTGTGGGAGTAAAGACCGGGAAAGTAAGCTATTCCTGCCTTGACACACACTCCAGAAGATACAGAAGCTGCTCCGAACGCCCTAAACCAGAACTGTTGGTATGTGAACGAGCAGGACGGAATTCCGCGAAAAAGGGAGGAGAACTGGGGGGTGGTTGGGGAGAACGAGACGAGGTAGTAAGCATGGCTTGAGGTGAAGGTGTCGGCTCACTCTCCCCTGTAACTCGCAGAAGCGCTTTGAAGGACTCATTAATCAGCTTAAACCGCAAACAAATATCTTTGCAAGGCCTCGTTCAAAAAGGGGGATGGTTTGGGAGGGGGGAGGAGGCATGCGGGAGGGCGTGATGGAATGGAATGGGATGGAAGCGAAGCGCAGTGTGCGAAGCGAAGTCGCTGTGCGACGTAAACGATATCAGATGCGATGTCCTTGTGATGGCTGGCCTGCGTGCCTGTCGCAGAGCGACTATCGGCCAGCCACAAACAGCTGCGGCGATGATGGGTGCGACTGGCGGTTCGTGAAATTCAGGGTGCTGTACTGGGGACTGTGGCGATGACGAGCCGTCCATCGCACATGCCTCGCCTGGTCTGGCGACGCTTGCGAAATCTGGGATGATGTACCTGAGTGACCAGGTGGATTTCTCGAAGTCTGAACACCAATCATATGCGAGAAGCGGCCTTCCGTGGAGAAAGCTGCGGATAGGGCCGTGGATTCTTCTGGCTCTTGTGTACCTTGGCAGCCAGCCATCTGTGCCCCCGCAAGCAAGTCCAGCGCTTGAGGAACAATTTTTCGGAACAAATTGCCATAACTTCTGCGGCGCGCTTTGTCCGATATGAAGTGATAACTTCAACGAAGAAATAAATTGTTGAGATTGCTAAAAAATCGTAACATGAAAAACCACCCTTTTTGGGGGGGGGTATGAGACATGATAGTGTTTACATAATCTCAGAACCTACTATGCAGAGAGCAATACTGCTGGAACTCATAACATAACACTTTATTTGTTGCATATTGATGATAGCAAAGGCCGATTCTAATATCTCTCAATAATGGTGCAACGAATACGACACCTTACGATAACAAAGGTCTCCTAATATCGATCTCAGGTACTACGTTAATCGTTGTGGGACTTTTGGCGCACGAAGCTGCACAGCAAGGTGCAGATTTCATGCAGTGAATGGCAAAGTAAACGGGCAGTGCTGTGAAAACAAAGGCGAGCGAGAGCAGCGACGGGACGAGTTGTGTGACGAGAGACGAAATGACAAGGTACCTGGACGTGGGGAGGGGGTGTAGGAAGAGTGAGGAGGGATGTGTAGGGGTGGAGTGTGAGGGGATACAAGGGGCATACAGCCACATCAACTGAGTGACGAGAGACGAGATGACCACTATGGGCGAGTTGTGGAGAAAGAAAGGGAGGACAGATTTGTAGGGGTGGAGTGAGTGAGAGGCCAACGAAGCACAAAGGCACATCCGCTGAGTGAGAAGAGATGAGATCACAAGATACCTGTGGGTGAGTTAGGAAGACGAGGGAGGAAGAATTGTAGGGGTGGAGTGAGTGAGATAAGGGAGACACATTGTGTAACTGCAGTGCCAACCATGGGGGTCACTCTGGCAAGTGAGTTCAACCAGCCAGGAAGGTCAGGAAGGAGAATCGAGAAGGATTGATAGGCAGGTGTGGGCAGTACTTACGTGGATACACCGACGACGATGACGCCTGGAAGCGGGTAGAGGCTGGCCTTGTAGGGGCGGGGCAGACTTAGGTGTGTGAAGGTGCAAGGGGTTGGGAAGTTGGGTAGGAAAAAGGGAGCATTTCTTACGTGGATACAACGACGACGATGACGCCTGGTAGCGGATAGAGTCTGGCCTTGTACGGGCGGGGCAGGTCGGGAAGGTCCCATCGGAGCTTGATGAGGGATGCGCCCACAAGGCAGTAGAACATCCATGCAGCGATGCCGAAATAATCAATCAACTGAGTGGGTGGGGGCATTTGGAGAGCAGGTGAACGGACCAAAATTAAGGAAATTGTAGAGCAGGAGAAGGTTCCAATGCTCCTTGATGAGTGATGCGCCCACGATGCCTTAGCAATGCCAAAGTAGTCGATTAACCAAAGAGCAATTTAGTACCAGTGGTTAGAGGCGACTAGAAACTATTTAGACATAATGAACAACCTGATGATAAGAGGGCAAGAAGGGGAAGGAAGGAATCAAAGTGGTTTGTGAGCTAGACAAATGTCTCACAAGGTCATCGAACATTATGAAAAAGCAGATGTCAATATATACAGATACTATTGGCGTATATGTCATTTTTTGCACAAAGTGCGTATAAATATGTAGTAAGTGATATATATATGTATGTATATATACTTTCTGCACTGTACACGTATGTGCTTAAGTGTACCTTTTCAAGGTGGTTTGCCGCGACAAAGACAACAACCGCAATCCATCCACCCTGCGGTTTGGAATGGAAATCGCAGGGAACCGGAGAAACAATTGTGAAACTTGGAAAATTATTAAAAAGGGATGTTTTTTTCTAAGTTAGGTGACGAGCGAATGACGGAACGGAAAGTGACCTACTGAATAAAGGGAAATGGTGGATGATTTATGGGGGGTATGAGAGATGGAAACGCAGCCACTGGAGAAATCACTGGTCGCTGCATTTGTGCGGTGTAAGGTGGAAGTAGTATGGAAGACAAACACAGTGCATGAAGTATGTACAGTGGAATTTCCAGCTGTTTGGGTGAAGGCAGCAGTGAGGGACGCAGAGTAGGACTGAGGTTGTATAGGGAGTTGAGGGAAAGAGAAAGAAGCGGCGCCTAGGCTGAGAAAACGTTTTTACACTGGAACGAAGTGAACTTGTGTGGAAGTGAAGAGCTTACAGTGGCAAGGAGCGAAGCGTAGGGCGCTCCTCCGGTAGTGACCGCACTGAGGAACGAGAAGAGCTGCCCGTCCCTTGCCTTGGCATACTGTTCAGGGGAAAGGCAAGGCAAGGAATATAGATATAGGGGAAGGAAATGAAGGGAAGAGTGGGGACAGTTGTCTACAGTGGCAAGGAGGAGTGAAGCATAGGTGCTCCTCCGGGAGTGATGGCACTGAGGAATGAGAAGAGCTGCCCATCCCTTGCTTTGGCGTACTGTATGTGGGTGGGTTGGTGTAAGGGACGGAAATCAACACGGGGAGGGGGAAACGAATATAGCACCGATGACGTTCGGAGCCACCGGAAATGAGTCTTTCCGTACGGGGGAAGGACTTACAAAGAAGCGAGCGTAGCACAGTAGCATGGTGTTGGCAGCACCCAGCACGTTGAGAGGCAACAGAACAATGAGCTGAGTAGTGGGTCGATATCTATCTATACATGCGCATGATGCTGCTTTGAGGTGCCTCGAAAGATATCTACCTATACATGCGCATGGCACAGCAGAGCAGCACAGTGCCTCGACTTACAAAGAAACGAGAGTGGCGTTGGCAGCTCCCAGCACGTTGAGAGCCACGAGGAAGCAAGTGAGTGCAGGGTTGAGTTGCACTATTCACATCACATGGGGCTTACAAAGAAGCGTGCGTGGCACAGCAGAGTGGCGTTGGCAGCTCCCAACACGTTGAGAGCCACGAGGAAGGCGATGAAATGAAACGGCCGGAGTGAGGGCCGAACACTGCCTCTACCGCTTCTACTGCCACCACTTCCGACTTGCCCACGGCTGAGACCGGAACGGGCAGGAGGAATAAGAGGGGGAAAGGGATTGGTGTTGGGCATGCTGTTGAACTTTTGAGTCGACTCAAAAGTCAAAAGTCACCTCGTTACCAAGGCACACAATAAGAGAGGTAAAGGGATTGGTGTTGGGCATGCTGTTGAAGGCGATAAAGCGGCCGAAATCGTGGAAGGCACAGCAGGAGGCGTGAAATCGCAACATCTTTTTAAGAACATGGATTATTTTATTTTGAGGTGTGCAAAGCAGGAGGTCGGTTAATTCATGGTAAGAGGTGTTGTGGTAGGAATGTTGTGATGAGAGGTGTTGTGATGAGAGGTGTTGTGATGAGAGGTGTTGTGATGAGAGGTGTTGTGATGAGAGGTGTTAGTGATGAGAGGTGTTGTGATGAGAGGTGTTGTGATGAGAGGTGTTGTGATGAGAGGTGTTGTGATGAGAGGTGTTGTGATGAGAGGTGTTGTGATGAGAGGTGTTGTGATGAGAGGTGTTGTGATGAGAGGTGTTGTGATGAGAGGTGTTGTGATGAGAGGTGTTGTGATGAGAGGTGTTGTGATATTGTGCAGGTTACCTGCCAGTGGAAGAATGCAGAAGTAGGCGGAGTTGACTACCAGCTGATGATGCGGTTCAATGCGGTCGGTTGCGGTGCCATGCGGTTTCACGTGGTTTCATGTAGAGTCATGCAAGGACACATGGAGAGCAAGCGTGGGGCATGCAGGAAGGAAGAACGAAGGGATGCATTTGAGGATTGTAATGGAACTGGGAGGGGTTGGCTGGGTGGTTCTTGGTTGCGAAGCACACACGTACACAACCCAACAGATGAACAAATAAAGGTACCTTTGAGACGTCTCAAAAGTCGTTTTGGTTTTTGAGACGTCTCAAAAGTCGTTTTGGTTTTTGAGACGTCTCAAAAGTCGTTTTGGTTTTTGAGACGTCTCAAAAGTCGTCTTGGTTGAGAAGCGCACACATACACAACCCAACAGATGAACAAATAAAGGTACCTTTGAGGTACCGGGTGCACAAGTCCAATCGAGCACCAGTTAGGTGCCATTGTTTTCTAAGGTGTCATCACTAAGAGTTGCTGCCACGTATTGAAATAATGGCACCTAACTGGTGCTCGGAAGGTACCGGGAGCACAAGTACACAAGTGTAGTGACTTTTTTTTAGTCGACTCAAGAAGCACATATATACACAAACCAGCGGAAGAGCATGAAATGAACCACTCTGGTAGATGAGTAAGCAGAGGTACATGATTATAATTATACATGATGCAAGTATACCTAGCGCCACATCCCTACCCTAGTATACCTAGATGAGTGCATGGACACAGGAAAGGGCCACTTACACGGATGCCGACAGCAGTGGGCACGCCAGGAAAAAACAGTAATTAGCCAAAAATATGCACTTGCCGTCACGCAACGATGCAGACAAGGAAATTGTGATCGAGCTCATGATGGGCTTTTGAGGCGCCTCAAAAGTCATGATGAGCTTAGAGATTTTTGTTGTCACCACTCACGCAGATGCCAACGGCAGTGAGCATGCCAAAGGAAAGCAAGCGAGATGTGGTCACTGTGAGCAAATGAGAGCAACCCTAAACATCGTGCCTCATACGAGATTGGCACTCATTTGGAATGAAATCCACCACTCACGCAGATGCCAACGGCGGTGAGCATGCCAAAGGAAAGCGAGCGGGGAAGGTCCCTCTTTGGGTTCTTGAGCTCTTCTGATAGATACCCCAGACAGTTCCTGATGATAGAAGTCAAAGGGCAGATTGCAGGACGAGATAATGAGCGGTTGGATGCGGTTGAGATGGACGAAATGAGAGGTTCGTCTTCTTGTTCTTGAGATCGTCTGATAGATAGCCCAGACAGTTCCTGATGATAGTGGTCAAGTGGCAAATTACAGGACGATAAAATGAGGATTGCATGGAGGTTGGATGCGGTTGAGATGGATGAAATAGGAGGTTCTTCTTTAGATTTCTGGACAGAGGGGGAGAAAAGTGACCTTTAGTAACAGCGCTTCTAAATGACTCCCTCTCCTTATCCTCGTTACAAGCAGAGCACCCACTCACCAGCCGTCAAAAGCCCACACAGCAGCAACCAAGCCGGCCCCGGCCCGGCTCCAGTTGTAAGCGGAGAGGGGTGGGAGCGGCTGGGAGAAGTTTGTAGCGGCTACAGATGTGCTGTAGCTGGCAGGAAGGCAGGAAGGTTATTATCCTCGTTGTAAGACCACTCACTCACCAGCCGTCAAAGGCCCAGACAGCAGCCACGAGGCCGGCCCCGGCGCGGCTCCAGTTGTAGCCGGAGAGAGGTGGGAGCGGCTGGGAGAAGTTTGTAGCGGCTACAGATGTGCCGTGGAGGGAGATGAAGATGGGCGCGCAGGCCACCACTGCTGCTATGAGGAGCGCCTTGGTGACTGTTAAGATATTTTGCACCAATGCCCCCGCCTTCACTCCTGCACAGGGGAGAAGAACGTGGGAAATAAGGGGAGGGTGGTGGGAAATGAGGAGAGGAGGAGGGAAGAAGTTTGTAGCGGCTGCAGACGTGCCGTGGAGGGAGATGAAGATGGGCGCGCAGGCCACCACTGCTGCTATGAGGAGCGCCTTGGTGACTGTCAGTATGTTCTGCACTAGTGCGCCTGCTTTCACTCCTGTGAGATTGGGTTGGGGTTGTGTGCAGGGAGGAGAGAGAGGTGGAGAGAGATGAAGATGGGCGGGCATGCTACAACCGCTGCTATTAGGAGTGCCTTGGTGACTGTGAGAATGTTTTGCACCAACGCCCCAGCCTTCACTCCTGCAGTGGTGTATGTGGGGGGGGTCGAAGAGGGGAAGGTGGAGAGAGATGAAGATGGGCGCGCAGGCCACAACCGCTGCTATTGGGAGTGCCTTGGTGACTGAGGATATTCTGCACCAACGTGCCTGCTTTGACTCCTGCATAGGGGGGGAGAATGAGGGATTTGAAAGGGAGGAGGAAAGAGGTTTGTAGCCCGGCTACAGCCGTGCCATGCCATGTACCTGTCTCTTTTTTAATTCAGATTCGGCTACAGCCGTGCCGTGGAGAGAGATGAAGAGCGCACAGGCTACAACCGCTGCTATGAGGATCGCCTTGGTGACTGTTAGGATATTCTGCACCAATGCGCCTGCCTTCACTCCTGCATGGGGGAGGAGAATGGTGAGAATGAGAGTCGACTCAAAAGTCAGCTGGAAGGAGCGGAGGAGGGAAAGAAGTCTGTAGCGGCTACAGCCGTGCCGTGGAGGGAGATGAAGATGGGCGCACAGGCCACCACTGCTGCTATGAGGAGCGCCTTGGTGACTGTGAGAATGTTCTGCACCAACGCGCCTGCCTTCACTCCTGGGGTATTGGGTGGGGGTGTGGAGGGAGGAGAAAAGAGAGGAAGGGCGTGAAGGAGCAGCCAAGATGCAGAGAGGAGGATGGTACACCGGCATGTAGTGAGGGAGTTGGAGGAGAGCACATACCAGCACAGTTGAGAGCGGCGAGGAGGGGTGTGAAGGAGTAGGCAGGCGAGAACGGAAGAAAGGGAGGAGAGCAGTTAATACCGGCGCTTACCGGAAGAAAGTGCGGGCACATACCAGCGCAGTTGATGGCAGTGAGGAGGAGAGTGAAGGAGCAGGCGATGGTTCGGACAGGGGATGGAGGAGTGGTACAAGAGTGGGTGATCAGGCGGATGAGAGCAGGCACCAGTGGTGGGTGCAGCAGGGCAGTTAAGCACATACCAGCGCATTTGATGGCCGTGAGGAGGAGAGTGAAGGAGCAGCCGATGATTCAGAGAGGGGGAGGAGAGTGGCTCGCCGGCACGTGACAAGGGGAGCGGGTGATAGAGTTGGTGGCTACAGCGCGTACCGGCACAGTTGATGGCAGTGAGGAGGAGAGTGAAGGAGCAGCCGATGATTCGCACGCCCATCTCCATCTGCTCCTCGCTCGCACCCTGCATGCCTGGGAGCTGGTGAGGGAGGGGATGCAATGCGATTCAGTGCGATTTAGTGCAGTGGAGTGCAATGGAATGCCTCATAGCACGTTCAGCTCCCTGTGCTCCTCGCTCGCGCCGTGCATGCCCGGGAGCTGAGCGGGGAGGAAGGGGAAGGAGAGGGGAATATATGCAATGAGATTCAATAAGTGCAATGCAATGCAATGGCTAACATGCACGCCCCCAGCTCCATCTGCTTCTCGCTCGCGCCATGCATGCCCAGAAGCTGAATGGAGAGAGGGGGCGAGAGAGCCAAAGGGAGCCGGTGCATTGAGACGTGAGGTGAGGGTGTTTTTGAGACGTCTCAAAATGCATGCCCAGAAGCTGAATGGAGAGAGGGGGCGAGAGAGCCAAAGGGAGCCGGTGCATTGAGATGCAAACGAGAGGAGATGCGAGTAACTGGATCTGACTAAACGGATGTGACTCAACTGAACGGATATGAGCACAAAGGACTCACCAGAGCGATGGTGTATCGGGCGAATGTGACTATAAGGATGGCGATGCCGCCGCCAGTAGAGACGAAAAAGAACATCCACATGAAGACAAACGAGAGCAGATCTCCGAACGCCAGCTGGATGTACTCCCCGTCGCCGCCCGCGTGCGGTATGGAGCTGCCCAGCTCAGCGTACACCTGCCACGTCAGCAGGACAGGTCAGCAAGACACGTCAGCAAGACATGTCAGAGCTATTAGAAAGCGCGCGTTACAGAACGTGTAACCACACACGGCATCTCCATAGGTAATCCCAGAACGTGTGGTTACAGCACAGCACGTGATGGCACGCTCTCACCTCGCAGCACGAGTAGGCGACGTGACGATGCCGGCGTAGAGCCACACGAGGAGCGCGGAGATGGCGGGTTAGGTGCGCATGCGCCTCCGGAGTCCACGAGCAGTAGCTGACAGTATGGCGCAAATAGCGCATAATATTACAGGCATGACGTTCACATACCTTGCAGCACGAGTAGACTTTTGAGTCGACTCAAAAGTCACCTCGCATGACGTTCACATACCTTGCAGCACGAGTAGGCGACTATGCCAGCGCAGAGCCACACGATGAGCGCGGAAATCGGCATGCCCCCCGAGTCTACCAGGAGCAGTAGCTGTTTGATTGGTGCTAGTGAATAGCACGTAATATTACAGCTGGACGCGTTTGCATTCACATACCTCGCAGCAGGAGTAGGCAACGATGCCGGCGCAGAGCCACAGATGAGCGCGGAAATCGGCGTGCCTCCGGAATCAAGGAGCACGACGCCTGGCGTGGCGAATATGCCGCTGCCCACCACCACTCCCAGCACCATGCTGGTGGAGAGATGAAAAAGAGGGAGAGGGGAAAGAAACATGGGTGTTGGAGAACCAGCATCAGCATTCAGCAGCAGCAATTTTCGAGGCGCCTCAAAAATCCTCAAAAGTTTTGAGGCGCCTAAAAAATCCTCAAAAGTTTTGAGGCGCCTCAAAAAGAAACATGGGTGTTGGAGAACCAGCACTTTCCAGGAGCAGCAAAAGGCCGGGCGTGGCGAATATGCCGCTGCCCACCACCACGCCCAGCACCATGCTGCAGCATGAAGGGGAAAGAGAGAGAGGAGGAGGAAGGAGAGGGGGAGGGAGGAGATGTATGGTAGGAATGAGGGGTTGGGAGGAGTGAGAGTCCACGAGCATGACGCCTGGCGGGAGGAGAAGGGATGCGGAGAGGGTGGGACGCGCGGGAGGAGAGGGGACGCGGAGAGGGGAGGTGGGGAGCGGGGGGAATGAGAAGCCAGCAGCCTAAAAGATCGACCCGGAAAGGCAGCCCCTGGTTTCCTCGTCGCAGTCGTTCCAGCGATGATCGCACATTCTCATGCACGACACGCACGCCATCGACGACAGTCAGCCATGGTCTCAGGCGAGCACGAAATCTAGTTTTGAGGCGCCTCAAAAGCAGCCCCTGGTTTCCTCGTCGCAGTCGTTCCAGCGATGATCGCACATTCTCATGCACTACACGCACACCATCGACGACAGTCAGCCATGGTCTCAGGCGAGCACGAAAAGTAACGTAATCCGTTACATAACCACTCGTCGAACATCGTCTCACAATAGCTCGTTGCAGTCTTAACGCAATAGCAGTGCCACGGACCACACGCCATCGACGTCAGGCGGCGACCTCAATGATCCGAGCGAGTCGCTCTTCCCTTACGTGCGAACTGAGGAAAAAAAACCCTATCGAAACTGGGTCCCTTGCGCAGGAGGGGAGAAGAGCGGAGCGAACTTCACCTCTTGTTAAAGCACACGATAAGAACACGATAAGCGCAACGCCACGCACCAGACGCCATCGACGACATTCAGCGATCGCTTCAACCCTCGCTTTTCCCCGTGCCCGCCGCCGCCGCCGCCCGCGGCTGCGCTCGCCGGCTCTGCGCCGGAGCACTCCTTGCCGCCGGCCCGAGAGGCGGTGGGGAGAAGCGGCGCGGCAAGAGCGGCCGTGGAGTCGTCGCACGCCGCGGGAGGGATCAACACGCAAGAATGACTCATGGCGTGGATGATGTGCGAAGCGACTAAAATAATGGGGCGATGGGGAAATATGTCCTTCGCGTTCTGTGCGTTCAACGAGATATTGCGGCGCGCGAAAAGGAAGCGTGTGTGGGCGGCCGGTGAGAGAATACTTGAAAAAAGTTCCGATGTTTTTCGCTTTACTAGGAGTGGAATGGACTGACGGGTAATCGAGCTTTTTTTGGACGAGGAGGTCAGAAAGGAGATGAAAGAAGAGCTCAGGTTGGCTTGTCGAGCCAGACACTAATATAAACTCTAATGCAGAAAGCTGCCTTTATGGTGGTGAGGAACAAGCGACGGTGACGAGAATTCTCGAAGGAAGAAGGGACGGGTGAAACAGTCATGAGGTGGTTGGAGGAAAGGGAGCGAATGAGAGGGATGCAGGGACAGAGGTGCTGGTTTGGTTGCAGTTGGGGAGGGGAATTCGTTTCTCGAGCCGCTCGCAGCTGTCATAGGCGAAGTTCGGCGGGTGACTTTGCGAAACAACAGTGACCATGTTTGTTTGAGTTGACGGTATTGGCACTCGCTTACATAAGTGCATCCTCACGCTGTGTTAAAAAACGAAAGCCCGATACAGACTGGGCGTTTGTGGGAGGTATGGTCCGCGTTTACGACCCATCTTCTGTTCCCAGCTGGAGATATTCGTAAGTCTCAATAGAAAGACTGCACTCAGCTTCAGGGAACGAAAAATGGCTCAGGTGGTTACGCTCGCGAACTCTCGTCAACAGAAACTGCAGGCTGTGGTGGCGGAATCTGCTCTGCCCTTGCCATGCTGCGAAATGTGGCGGAAGTCTGTTGAGCTCATTGGCTCACTGCTTTGCGACTCTGTTGCTGCAGGTCAATTCTGTCGTCGAGTCAGAAGTGAGGCCAGATGGAGGCGCCTACTGGATAATTCCACAAACCGCAGCTCGCTGCGTAATGGGAGAACCAATAAGGATGTACGATCTCCCGGCGGGTTGCCCAATCATGGGGCGATTTGGGCTGACTTGGTTCCAGCACTTCATCTTCCCTTCCAGCAGGGCAAGGTTGCTTTTGCAAGATCTTCGGAGGTGGTTGCAAGCAAAGGAACGCATGTGTACTGGCAGCTACGGTGTATCATATTGATTGGGTAGGATAAGGACGGGTCCTGCGCGTACGTTTTCCGTACATTACAGTTCATTCAGTGCGGTAATTTGTATTGCGTCACGCTTCATAACGGTGCAATTTCAGAACCGCTGTGCACCATCTAATATCTTTTCAAACCACGACGAATGAACTGTATAGTAACTGTAAACGTACGCGCTGGACCCGCCCTAATGTCGCTCTAACGAAAGCAAGCCTGAATGGATAACATGGTTCGAGTCACACCCTCCAAACCAGGTAGCCGTTGGGTTCGCGTCATTGGCCAATCGCTCTGAACCTCGAGGTTCGTGGTCTGCCTGGCCCTAGGTTCGGTCTGCTTGCTTGAGGGTGTCAGCGCATTTTCGCAAGAACGAATTACCGAACTCTTTGAATTTCGTCATCCGTCGCATACATCTTCATCCATTCATCTCCTCGCCTGTAGTCGCATGCTCTTGCCCCTCCGAGGATCAGTTCGCCAAACTTCAACCACACCGACTTCCTCCCCTCGCCTCTTTTGCAGGTTCAGTTCAGACCAGACCAGCAAACAGGTATTAGAAAATAAAGGCTTATAGGGTGATTTATGGTGCGAAAATTACTTGTACTGGTGACAGATATTCTCCAGCGTATGAGTAGAATTGACTGATAACGTGCATTGAGTCATGCCGTCTGGCCGGAATCCTCGCGAAGAACCCTCAGAGCATTCAGACGTACGCGTGCCGCTTATTCAGCCACCCGTAAACCCCACTAGAAATGGCACGTCGACCAATAGCATTGCGCCAATTACTTCCTGCTTGCCGCGTCTCGTGCCACCGAATGACGTAGGTGTTATCAATTGCGACGAAGGCCGTGCAGGGAGGAAAGAAGTTAATATTCCCTCGGCAGATGAAGGCGAGATTGTTGGCCCGCACTCGCCGCGCGCGGGGTTGAAACGGTCGCTTACCGTCGTCGACGGCGTCAGGTGCGAATAGATTAAGGTTTATTCTTAGCCGGGTCAAAGATCGTCGGCCCGCACTCGTGTAAAAAGGGTGCCGCTCTGACGTGCTGCTATGTGTCAGCAGCTGGCAATCCTCTGGCTGACATGTCTCATGAAGGTCTTTCGTAAGGGTATATTTCTGTCACTTATGAGATTTTCAAAATGAATTCTCGAATCGACACGTCTCATAACAGGACGTTCGTGAGGGTATAATCCTGTCACTCGCACAAGCAACCTACTCGCGCCGCTTTCACCCCTCTCCTTCCCCCTATCGTACCCCTCTCATGCTACCCTCTCCTTTTCCGTCGCCCTCTCGCTCCGTCTCGTTCCGTCTCCCTCCGTCTTCCTCTGTCATGTTCCGCTTCCCTCCCTCCGTCCTCGTTCTCCCCATTTCCATCCGCAATGCACCAAAATGCAGCATGGTGCTGGGAATGGTGGTGGGAAGCAGCATATTCGCCACGCCAGCCTTGCCCTGCAGTGTGGTGTGCAAACGCCCATGCCTCTCTGCCTCTCTGTGTGCATCATGTGTTGCTCTGTCTCAAGCAGCATTGTGCTGGGAGTGGTGGTGGGCAGCCAGCGGCATATTCGCCACGCCAGGCGTCGTGCTCGTGGATTCCGGAAGGATGTCCTCTCACACCCCCCATCCCCTCATTCCACCCATCCCCTCTCCCCCCCTCAATCTTCCCCCCTGATGCGGCAGCATGGTGCTGGGAGTATTGGTGGGCAGCGGCATATTCGCCACGCCAGGCGTCGTGCTGCTGGGTGGAGTGTAAACGCCCGTGCATTTCTGCCCCTCAGTCTCTATCTCTCTATCTCTTTCCGTGTTAATGCAGCATGGTGCTGGGAGTGGTGGTGGGCAGCGGCATATTCGCCACGCCAGGCGTCGTCCTGCTGCTGAGCGGTGCTGCTTCTCTAGCACCCATCCTTCTCTCCCCTCCCCCCTTGTGTTCTACCTCCCAACCAGCATGGTGCTGGGAGTGGTGGTGGGCAGCGGCATATTCGCCACGCCAGGCGTCGTCCTGCTGCTGAGCGGTGCTGCTTCTCTAGCACCCATCCTTCTCTCCCCGCCCCCCTTGTGTTCTACCTCCCAACCAGCATGGTGCTGGGAGTGGTGGTGGGCAGCGGCATATTCGCCACGCCAGGCGTCGTCCTGCTGCTGAGCGGTGCTGCTTCTCTAGCACCCATCCTTCTCTCCCCTCCCCCCTTGTGTTCTACCTCCCAACCAGCATGGTGCTGGGAGTGGTGGTGGGCAGCGGCATATTCGCCACGCCAGGCGTCGTCCTGCTGCTGAGCGGTGCTGCTTCTCTAGCACCCATCCTTCTCTCCCCGCCCCCCTTGTGTTCTACCTCCCAACCAGCATGGTGCTGGGAGTGGTGGTGGGCAGCGGCATATTCGCCACGCCAGGCGTCGTCCTGCTGCTGAGCGGTGCTGCTTCTCTAGCACCCATCCTTCTCTCCCCTCCCCCCTTGTGTTCTACCTCCCAACCAGCATGGTGCTGGGAGTGGTGGTGGGCAGCGGCATATTCGCCACGCCAGGCGTCGTGCTGCTGGACGCGAGCGGGTCGCCGCTGCTGGCGCTGCTGCTGTGGCTGCTGGCGGGGGTGGTGGGGTACGCCTGCTGCGAGGTGAGATGGGTGCGAGGAGGGGAGAAGACTTTTGGGTCGAATCAATCGTCGGATTCGTCCTGCTGGACGCGAGTGGGTCGCCGCTGCTGGCGCTGCTGCTGTGGCTGCTGGCGGGGGTCGTGGGTTATGCGTGTTGTGAGGTGAGCAAGGGAAGGGTGAGTGGGGGAAGGAGGGAGACAAGGGCAAGGCAAGTACGTTTGCCGCTGCTGGCGCTGCTGCTGCGACTGCTGGCAGGGGTGGTGGGGTACGCGTGCTGTGAGGTGAGAAGGGGGCTTATTTGGAGTGGCGTTGTGGGACAAGGAAAGGAGGTGCGAGGATGGGAAGGGTAAGGGCGGTCAACTGCTCATTGCTGCTGGCGCTGCTGCTGCGACTGCTGGCAGGGGTGGTGGGGTACGCGTGCTTTGAGGTGAGAAGGGGAGCAGGAGGGAGGGTTATGAGGGAGGGAGACAGGGTCAGTTCAGTAAAGGTGGCGCTGCTGTTGTGGCAGCTGGCAGGGGACGTGGGTTATGCATGCTGCGAGGTGAGGAGAGAGGGGTGGGGTGGGAGGAGGGAGACAAGGGTACGTAAGTGTGCCACTGCTGGCGCTGCTGTTGCGGCAGCTGGCAGGGGACGTGGGTTATGCATGCTGCGAGGTGAGGAGAGAGGGGTGGAGAGCGTGAAGAACGGACGAGGTGGGGAGAGAGGTGAGTAGGAAGGAGAAGAGGGTTTAAGGGTGGGTCGCCTGCAAGGTAGGTAGGAACAAGGGATGTTAATGCTGATGGATGGCCGCTGTTGGGTGGGGCTGCTTATGCGGCTGCTGGCGAGGGTCCTGAGATATGCTTGCTGCGAGCGAGTTGACGAGGAGGATGGGGTGTTGTGGAAGAGAGGGGGAAAGGGGTAATGTTGGCTGGTTTGGAAGGTACGAAGGGATGTTAATGCGGATGGTTTGCCGCTTCTGCACTGCTGCTGTGGTGCTGGCCGGGTACTGGTGTGCGCATGGTGCACGGTGAGAAGGCAGGGAGGTGGGGAGGGAGGTGTTGCCTTGCCAGGTGTTACCCAGGTCCCAGGCGGGAGAGTTGAATGTTTCAAGGGGGGCCTGGGTATGGGGGACATCTAAGCGCTTATGTAGTCCCATTCTACTCTCCATCCCATCCCATCCCATCCCCTCCCATCCCATCCCATCCCATCCCATCACATCCCATCCCATCCCATCCCATCCCATCCCATCCCATCCCATCCCATCCCATCCCCTCCCATCCCATCCCATCCCATCCCATCCCATCCCATCCCATCCCATCCCATCCCATCCCATCCCATCCCATCCCATCCCATCCCATCCCATCCCATCCCCTCCCATCCCCTCCCCTCCCATCCCATCCCATCCCATCCCATCCCATCCCATCCCATCCCATCCCATCCCATCCCATCCCATCCCATCCCATCCCATCCCATCCCATCCCATCCCATCCCATCCCATCCCCTCCCCTCCCATCCCATCCCATCCCATCCCATCCCATCCCATCCCATCCCATCCCATCCCATCCCATCCCCTCCCCTCCCATCCCATCCCATCCCATCCCATCCCATCCCCTCCCCTCCCCTCCCATCCCATCCCATCCCATCCCATCCCATCCCATCCCATCCCATCCCATCCCATCCCATCCCATCCCATCCCATCCCATCCCATCCCATCCCATCCCCTCCCCTCCCATCCCATCCCATCCCATCCCATCCCATCCCATCCCATCCCATCCCATCCCATCCCATCCCATCCCATCCCATCCCATCCCATCCCATCCCATCCCATCCCCTCCCCTCCCCTCCCATCCCATCCCATCCCATCCCATCCCATCCCATCCCATCCCATCCCATCCCATCCCATCCCATCCCATCCCATCCCATCCCCTCCCCTCCCCTCCCCTCCCATCCCATCCCATCCCATCCCATCCCATCCCATCCCATCCCATCCCATCCCATCCCCTCCCCTCCCCTCCCCTCCCATCCCATCCCATCCCATCCCATCCCATCCCATCCCATCCCATCCCATCCCATCCCACCCAACCCCGTTCCATTCCTCTCCATTGGACCCATCCACCCCTGTCTATGCCATCAGGTGTATGCAGAGCTCGGGAGTTTCATCCCTCATGCAGGCGGTGATGGGGAGTACTTGCAGGTAACCTGCACTTTACCTCACAAGAGCACAACTTCCCTTTTAAACATACCTGTTATGTAAGCAGCAGTCTCCTGCTGTTTGACGTAGAACGTAACCGTAACAGAGCCATTCCTCCTCCTTACCCACCTCCTGTGTATGTGCCGATGTTGGTAGAATGGAAGGTTGATGTTCATGATGTGAGTTTCCTTTTCTCGTCGATTCATATACACCATCATCTTAGGGTTCGGGTTTAGGGTTTAGGTATTTATCTATCTTACATGTCGATTCTCTAACCAGCAATAAATGTGAGTTTTTCATGCCGATTCTGCTTGTTCCTACGGCACCAGATATACGGTCTTCTTCAGCTTATCGTCCTTTCGTTGATCGTACTCACACTTGTTTACTATTCATGACATCATGTCCCATGCCGAATCCGTCTCCGCCAGGTGGCGTTTGGAGAGCTCGCGTCGTTTGTCTTCATGTGGATGTTCTTCTTTGTCTCTACCTGCGGGGCCCTCTCCATTCTTGTTGTCACGTTCGCCCGATACGCTGTCGCTCTGGTGAGGGGAGTGCTTATGGGGGGTGGTGCTCGTGGGGGGAGTGCTGGTAGGGGGAGTGCTCGTGGGGGGAGGTGCTCGTGGGGGAAGGTGCTCGTGGGGGGTGGGAGGTGCTCGTGGGGGGTGGGTGGTGCTCGTGGGGGTCGTTTTTGAGGCGCCTAAAAAGCGACCTCGATACGCTGTCGCTCTGGTGAGGGGAGTGCTTGTGGGGGGTGGTGCTCGTGGGGGGAGTGCTTGTGGGGGGTGGTGCTCGTGGGGGGAGTGCTTGTGGGGGGTGGTGCTCGTGGGGGGAGGGGGGCGACGGTTAGGGGCCCTCTCATGTGAATTGCGCTCATCATTTCAAGTGGCTGGGCCCTCTCCATTCTTGTGGTCACGCTTGCCCGATACGAGTGGAGAGTGGTGATGGTGATGGAAAGGATGTCAATTGGGTTTTCATCTTCGTATCAACCCGCAAGGCTGTACTGGCTGTGTGCCCCCTCTCCTTCTTTGTAGTCACGTTCGCTTGATACACCGTTGCTCGGGTGAGGGAGGGGCGCTGGTGATAGAGGGAGGAGTGCTTCGTAAGGAAAGAGGGGTGCTTCGTAAGGAAAAAGGGGTGCTTCGTAAGGGAAAAGGGGTGCTTCGTCTGTTTCCCACCTTCTCTGCTGCCCGTTTTTCTGGTGGAACAGCATCAGGCGAAGAAGAGGTGATGATTGTGGTGATAGAGGGGATGTCCTCTTTTCCCTCATGAAATGCCCACCCCTCTCTTCATCTTGTGTAAAAAGAGTAGTTTTGAAACATCTCAAAATTCATCTTGTGGTCTCCCATTTTCCCTCCTCTTGCTGCTCTCCTCCCATTTCTCCTCCCAGCTACCAGGGGCAGCAGCAGGGGGCGAGGAGGAGATGGAAGTGATGGTGATGGTGGTGGGAGGGGGGTGCGTGCTGCTGCTTACTCTTGTCAACTGCTGTGGTGAGTGTGTGTGAGTTTGAGTCATGAGTGTCTGTGAACCGTATACCAAAGCCCTTCAGACTTTCAACCAGAAACACAACACCCTAGTCTAATTCTTTCCTCTGCTGCACCCCTTCCTCCTCCTCCTCCTCCTCCTCCTCCTCCTCCTCCTCCTTCTCCTCCCCCCCACCCCCCCCCCCCCCCCTCCTCCTCCTCCTCCTCCTCCTCCCCACCCCCCCCCCCCCTCCTCCTCCTCCTCCTCCTCCTCCTCCTCCTCCTCCTCCTCCTCCTCCTCCTCCTCCTCCTCCTCCTCCTCCTCCTCCTCCCCCCCACCCCCCCCCCCTCCTCCTCCTCCTCCTCCTCCTCCTCCTCCTCCTCCTCCTCCTCCTCCTCCTCCTCCTCCTCCTCCTCCTCCTCCTCCTCCTCCTCCTAGTCTCCTCCCTCAGCCCTTCCTGCTGCTCCTAAGCCCTCTCTCTCCGCTCATCTCTCTGCATCCCTTTCAGGCGTGGAGGCAGGCACGTGGCTGCAGAACCCCCCTCTCGCTCTCCAAGGCTCTCCTCATCTCATCACCATCGCTGCCACCTGTGTGCCATCCCCTCCTCTTTCCCTTTCCGTTCTAATTGTAACCATCAGGAGGTGATGCAGGCACGTGGCTGCAGAACCTCCTCTCGCTCTCCAAGGCTCTCCTCATCGCCATCTGTGTGCTTCCCCCTTCTCTCCTCCTTTCTCTTTCCCCTTCTCATCCGCCCATACTCTCCTCTCCTCCAGGCGTGGAGGCAGGCACGTGGTTGCAGAACCTCCTATCGCTCTCCAAGGCTCTCCTCATCTCATCCGCTTCATTGCCATCTGTGTGCGTATACGGCCCCTCTTCCCTCCCCGCCAGGAGTTGAAGCAGGCACGTGGCTGCAGAACCTGCTCTCGCTCTCCAAAGCACTCCTCATCGCCATCATCCTCTCTCTCCCATCTATGTGCTCCCGTCCCCCACTTCTCCCCCACTTCTTTCCCCCTACTCGCCCCCTCTCCAGGAGTTGAAGCAGGCACGTGGTTGCAGAACCTGCTCTCGCTCTCCAAAGCACTCCTCATCTCATCGCCATCATCCTTGCTCTCCCATCTGTGTGCTACCCCATCTCTTCCCCCAAACATTTCCCCTTCGTCCCCTCCCAGGAGTTGAAGCAGGCACATGGCTGCAGAACCTCCTATCGCTCTCCAAGGCGCTCCTCATCGCCATCATCCTCACCGCCGCCCCGGCCTTCATGCTCCTGCACGGCCCCACTGCTTCCACCTATCTCTCCCCCTCCCACTTCCAGGAGTTGAAGCAGGCACGTGGCTGCAGAACCTCCTATCGCTCTCCAAGGCGCTCCTCATCGCCATCATCCTCGCCGCCGCCCCGGCCTTCATGCTGCTGCACGGCCCTGCCACTGCCACCGCCAACCTCCTTCAGCCGCTGCCACCGCTTGACTCGCTTGACCTCAGCAGGCTGGGTGCTGGGCTGGTTGCGGCTATATGGGCGTTTGACGGATGGTGAGTGGATGGGTGGGGTGGGGTGGGGTGGGGTGGGGTGGGGTGGGGTGGGGTGGGTGACAGCAAGGCTGCCTTCCTGGTTCTCCACGGCCCTGCCACTGCCACCGCCAACCTCCTTCAGCCGCTGCCACCGCTTGACTCGCTTGACCTCAGCAGGCTGGGTGCTGGGCTGGTTGCGGCTATATGGGCGTTTGACGGATGGTGAGTGGATGGGTGGGGTGGGGTGGGGTGGGGTGGGGTGGGGTGGGGTGGGGTGGGGTGGGGTGGGGTGGGTGACAGCAAGGCTGCCTTCCTGGTTCTCCACGGCCCTGCCACTGCAACCGCCAACCTCCTTCAGCCGCTGCCTCCGCTTGACTCGCTTGACCTCAGCAGACTGGGCGCTGGGCTGGTCGCGGCTATATGGGCCTTCGACGGATGGTGAGTGGATGAGTGGTGGGGTGTCTGTGTGTGGGTTACAGCCAGGCTGTCTTGATGCTGCTACCAACCTTTTCCTGCAGCCGCTACCCCACCCGTTGACTGCAGCACACTGGGCGCTGGGCTGGTAGCGGCTATAGGAGGGCAGTAGGAGGAGGGCAGTAGGAGGAGGAGGGCAGTAAGAGACGGGTGCACTGATGGCAAACTAAGCTAAGCTAAGCTGACTCAACCCCCGCCCACAGCCCCGCTTGCCTTCCTGAGGAGGTTAAGAACCCCGAGAGGGATCTGCCATTGGCCTCGTTCTCATTTCATTCTGAGTTCTCTCTTCAATGAACAACATGCAACTTTTGAGTCGACTCAAAACTGACTTCTGACTTTCGAGTCGACTCAAAACTGACTTCTGACTTACGAGTCGACTCAAAAACTGACTTCTGACTTTCGAGTCGACTCAAAAACTGACTTTTTACTTTTGAGTCGACTCAAAAGCCAGATCTGCCATTGGCCTCGTTCTCATTTCATTCTGAATTCTCTCTTCAATGGACAACATGCAACCACGCCCCTCACTTCTTCCTCCCTCGACCTTGTTTTTGAGTCGACTCAAAAACCGCAACCCTCGACCTCGAAGGAACTGCCTGGGCTTTCTCTCAGAGGAGCTTAAGGATCCAAAGAGGGACCCCCCACTGACCCCTCTCATTCCTCCTCCAATGCTCCATCAATCCTCTTGCCCTTGACATATCTCGCAGGAACTGCCTGGGCTTTCTATCAGAGGAGCTCAAGAATTCAAAGAGGGACCTGCCATTGAGCTCCTTCCCATTACCCATTCACTCCTCATCGAACCTTCGTCATCATACCATCTTGCCCCTTCCTCCATTGACATGTCTCGCAGGAACTGCCTGGGCTTTCTATCAGAAGAGCTCAAGGACCCAAAGAGGGACCTGCCTCGCTCGCTCTCCATCGGCATGCTCATTGCGGTCGTCATCTGTGTGAGTGGCGGTGTGGTGCGGTGCGGTGTGGTGCGGCGGCCAACTGACTATGCCCATTCTCTCTCTATGGGCTATTCTATGCTCTCACACGCCCAAAGAGGGACCTGCCTCGCTCGCTCTCCTTCGGCATGCTCATTGCTGTCGTCATCTGTGTGAGTGGCGGTATGCTTGTACTAGTTAAGCTTGTATCGAGTATGATTTTTTTTTTTTTTTTTTTTTTTTTCATTTAATGTTTGTGAGTCCATTGGATCCGTTGCTCCCCCATGGGCATGCTGCTGCTGTCATCTGTGTGAGTAGCGGCCCACAAAGTATGCGTATATTGTGTATGCTTTTATCGAGTATGCATCTATTGAGTACGCTACCATTGAATCCGACGCTGTTCATAGGCATGTTGGTGGCTGTTGTCACCTGTGTGTGAGTGTTGCTATTATTGAGCTTATCGAATATGCTTCTACTGAGTATGAAGCTGATTGAGTGTTGCCCTGTTTGTTCACTACAGCAATGTGACTCCGCAACGTTCCTATGTCAATCCTTTTTTTTGGTTTGTGACAGTCCATGTAGGTTCGTGACAGTCCGTGTAGGTTCGTGACAGTCCATGTAGGTTCGTGACAGTCCATGTAGGTTCGGGCAAATTCACGTCTGTCAACCCGCAGCCACGTTGCTCAGTTTGAGTTATTTCATTTCCCAAAACAAACGCCTCCCGCCCACCTCCCCCACGCCTTGCCTTCTCCAATCATCCCTTGCCAGCTGTCTGCCAACGTGGCATATCTCTGCATCCTTCCCGCTCAAGGTGAGAGGGCGTGTGCCATCGTGCAGCGCTTTTTTTCCGCCTATGTTACACTGCCTTCTGAAATACTCAAGTGTGGCATTATGCATAGGATTTCTGTGTGTTATTGGTGGTTGGCCCGGTAGCAGGCATCCTGGTTGATCGATTCAAATAGTTCTGATCTTCAAAATATCCCCAAACCCTTCTCCGTCTCCTCATCTCCTCCCCCCCCAAACACCCAGCCATGGGCATATCGCAGGTGGTGGCGGTGGATTCAGTGGCGCTGGTGTTCGGCCAGGCAGCAGCAGGCAGGCTGGTTGCTGCAGTCGTGAAAAGACATGCTGGGGGCTTCAAGTAGCTCGCTTGTTCCCCTCATTTCCATCCTTTTTTCCCTTCGGTTCCTCCCTTCCTCAACCCACACCAGCCATAGGCATGTCTAAGGTGGTGGCGGTGGATTCAGTGGCGTTGGTGTTCGGCCAGGCAGCAGGCAGGCTGGTGGCTTCAGTAGCTGCTGAATGGAAGATGCTGCATTGTAGCTCCCTTGTGACCCTTGTCTCCTTGCTTTCGCTCCTCATCCCCATCACCAGCCATAGGCATATCTCAGGTGGTCGCAGTGGATTCAGTGGCATTGGTGTTCGGCCCGGCAGCAGGCAGGGTGGTGGCACTGCTGGTGGCTTTCAACGTGCTGGGCTCGGCTAATGGGACCTTACTCTGCAATGCACGATACTTTGTGAGTCACATGCACAGCAGTGGCAGCAGCAGCAGCAGCAGCAGCAGCAGCAGCAGCAGCAGCAGCAGCAGCAGCAAGCAAGCACACAGGTGGGCAGGCAGGCAGGAATGTTAGCAGGAACACATGCACACAGGCAAGCATGAAAGCGGGCAGGGAGGCAGCAGGCAGGGTGGTGGCGCTGCTGGTGGCTTTCAACGTGCTGGGCTCAGCTAACGGGACTCTGCTGTGCAACGCACGAAACTTTGTGAGCTGCATGCAAGCAAAGCAGGCTGGCACGGAATCATGCAATCAGGCAGGCAGGCAGCAGGCAGGGTGGTGGCGCTGCTGGTGGCGTTCAACGTGCTGCTGGGCTCGGCCAATGGCACTCTGCTGTGCAATGCACGATACTTTGTGAGTCGAAAGATGCTTAGTCTGTATTCAGCAAGCAAACACACAGGTGGGCAGGCAGCAGGCAGGGTGGTGGCGCTGCTGGTGGCGTTTAACGTGCTGGGCTCGGCCAATGGCACTCTGCTGTGCAATGCACGATACTTTGTGAGTCGCATACAAATCAGCAGCAGCAGCAAGCAAGCACTCCCCCCCCCCCTTTTCCCGGCATGGCAAGGGAGGGTCGCCTGTCTCGCTTCTTTGGGGCTGTCACTTCCGATTCTCGTAGCGTTCCTCTCCACTCCCCTCTTTCTAATCATCCTCCGCTGTCTCCCTACATTCTACTTCTTCCAGTTTTGAGACGTCTCAAAAGTTTTGAGTTTTGAGACGTCTCAAAAGTTTTGAGTTTTGAGACGTCTCAAAAGTTTTGAGTTTTGAGACGTCTCAAAAGTTTTGAGTTTTGAGACGTCTCAAAAGTTTTGAGTTTTGTGACGTCGCAAAACTCATCATCCTCCGCTGTCTCCCTGTATTCTACTTCTTCCAGTACGCGATGGCAAGAGAGGGTCGCCTCCCTTGCTTCTCCCACCCTTTCCCCATCAATCCCACCCCAATGCTCCTCCTCCCCTGTTTCACTCTCCCTGATTGTCAGTACGTCATGGCAAGGGAGGGTCGTCTGCCTCGCTTCTTCCAGCAATCACTCTTCGCTCTCCCCCTCACCCCCTTCAACCTTCTCACCCCTCACACCCCTCTCCCCCCCCCACTGCTGGATCAACAGTACGCCATGGCAAGGGAGGGTCGCCTCCCTCGCTTCTTTTTGGCTGTCACCAAATCTGGCGCTCCCTATGCCGCTCTCTGCCTTATAGTGAGTCTACGCCGCCCTCTGCCTTATAGTCAGTCTGCGCTGCTTTTTTTGCCTTTTAGTGAATTTATGCTGCTCTGTGCCTTGTAGTGAATTTATGCTGCTCCCTGCCTTTTTAGTGAGTTTATGCTGCTCTGTGCCTTATTGTCAGTTTATGCTGCTCTGCGTCTTATCGTGAGTCTATGCTGCTCTGTGCCTTATATTGAATCTATGCTGCTCTGTGCCTTATTGTCAGTTTATGCTGCTCTGTGTCTTATCGTGAGTCTATGCTGCTTTGTGCCTTATATTGAATCTATGCTGCTCTCTGCTTTATAGTGACTTTATGCTGCTCTGTGCCTTATAGTGAGTTTATGCTGCTCTGTGCCTTATAGTGAGTCTATGCTGCTCTGTGCCTTATACGCTCTGTGCCTTACATTGAATCTATGCTGCTCTCTGCCTTATAGTGAGTTTGTGCTGCGCTGTGCCTTATAGTGATTTTATGCTGCTCTGTGCATCATAGTGATTTTATGCTGCTCTGTGCCCTATAGTGAGTTTATGCTGCTTTGTGCCTTTAGTGAGTTTTTGCTACTCCGTGTCTTCTAGTGGAATTATTCTGCTCTGTGAGATTTTTAATCTGTTCTTTTTTGCGCGAAAACGCTCCTACACTAATTTGATGCCTGTCTGTTGCGTATCTTATCCTCGTCGTTTGATATGTCACCTTCCCTCTCTCCATTCTTCCTTGCTTCTTTCTTTCCTCCTTCCCTCTCAACCTCCCTCTCTTGACTCAGGGTGGCTGGACCATGGTTCTGCTCTTCTTTGCAGCCAATCAGCTGGAGAAGGTAAGCAACTGCAGGTAAAAGTGATTGACATGCATGGAGAGGGATTGCCATTTGCAGTCCAGTTCACTTTCGAGGCGCCATGTTCCTAGAGTGGTTGGAGTGGGCCGTGGTGCTGCTCTTCTTTGCAGCCAATCAGCTTGAGAAGGTAAGCAACTGCAGGCACAAGTGATTAGCTAGCCCATGCAAGGAGCTGCACGAGTGAAATGTCATTGCTCCACGTGCCAATGCCACATATGGCCTTCCTGTTCTGCGCAGCTTCCCATATAGTCTCCTCTACTTTAGCATTGCCGCGTGGCCTTTCCGCGGAGCAGAAGCAGCGGCACTACGAGGCGATAACCTGTTCTGTAGAGCCGTCACAGCAGACGACTTTTGAGGCGCCTCAAATATGGGCTTTCCACGGAGCAGAAGCTACAGCACTACGAGGCGATAACCTGTTCTGTAGAGCCGCCGGAGCAGCTGCAACCCGCACTCACCAAGACCTGCGCGTGTTTCCTCCTTCCCACTGTGCCTCCCATCCGCAGCTTCTAGACTATTTCGGCATTGCAACGTGGATATTCTATGGGGCGGTGGCAGCAGCTCTCTTCAAGCTCCACAACCCCACACATCTCCCTCCTATGCCCACCTCATTCCTTTCCCCTCAGCTTCTAGACTATTTCGGCATCGCAACGTGGATATTCTATGGGGCGGTGGCAGCAGCTCTCTTCAAGCTCCACAACCCCACACATCTCCCTCCTATGCCCACCTCATTCCTTTCCCCTCAGCTTCTAGACTATTTCGGCATCGCAACGTGGATATTCTATGGGGCGGTGGCAGCAGCTCTCTTCAAGCTCCACAACCCCACACATCTCCCTCCTATGCCCACCTCATTCCTTTCCCCTCAGCTTCTAGACTATTTCGGCATCGCAACGTGGATATTCTATGGGGCGGTGGCAGCAGCTCTCTTCAAGCTCCACAACCCCACACATCTCCCTCCTATGCCCACCTCATTCCTTTCCCCTCAGCTTCTAGACTATTTCGGCATCGCAACGTGGATATTCTATGGGGCGGTGGCAGCAGCTCTCTTCAAGCTCCACAACCCCACACATCTCCCTCCTATGCCCACCTCATTCCTTTCCCCGCAGCTTCTAGACTATTTCGGCATCGCAACGTGGATATTCTATGGGGCGGTGGCAGCAGCTCTCTTCAAGCTCCACAACCCCACACATCTCCCTCCTATGCCCACCTCATTCCTTTCCCCTCAGCTTCTAGACTATTTCGGCATCGCAACGTGGATATTCTATGGGGCGGTGGCAGCAGCTCTCTTCAAGCTCCACAACCCCACACATCTCCCTCCTATGCCCACCTCATTCCTTTCTCCTCAGCTTCTAGACTATTTCGGCATCGCAACGTGGATATTCTATGGGGCGGTGGCAGCAGCTCTCTTCAAGCTCCACAACCCCACACATCTCCCTCCTATGCCCACCTCATTCCTTTCCCCTCAGCTTCTAGACTATTTCGGCATTGCAACGTGGATATTCTATGGGGCGGTGGCAGCAGCTCTCTTCAAGCTCCACAACCCCACACATCTCCCTCCTATGCCCACCTCATTCCTTTCCCCTCAGCTTCTAGACTATTTCGGCATCGCAACGTGGATATTCTATGGGGCGGTGGCAGCAGCTCTCTTCAAGCTCCACAACCCCACACATCTCCCTCCTATGCCCACCTCATTCCTTTCCCCTCAGCTTCTAGACTATTTCGGCATTGCAACGTGGATATTCTATGGGGCGGTGGCAGCAGCTCTCTTCAAGCTCCACAACCCCACACATCTCCCTCCTATGCCCACCTCATTCCTTTCCCCTCAGCTTCTAGACTATTTCGGCATCGCAACGTGGATATTCTATGGGGCGGTGGCAGCAGCTCTCTTCAAGCTCCACAACCCCACACATCTCCCTCCTATGCCCACCTCATTCCTTTCCCCTCAGCTTCTAGACTATTTCGGCATTGCAACGTGGATATTCTATGGGGCGGTGGCAGCAGCTCTCTTCAAGCTCCACAACCCCACACATCTCCCTCCTATGCCCACCTCATTCCTTTCCCCTCAGCTTCTAGACTATTTCGGCATCGCAACGTGGATATTCTATGGGGCGGTGGCAGCAGCTCTCTTCAAGCTCCACAACCCCACACATCTCCCTCCTATGCCCACCTCATTCCTTTCCCCTCAGCTTCTAGACTATTTCGGCATCGCAACGTGGATATTCTATGGGGCGGTGGCAGCAGCTCTCTTCAAGCTCCACAACCCCACACATCTCCCTCCTATGCCCACCTCATTCCTTTCCCCTCAGCTTCTAGACTATTTCGGCATTGCAACGTGGATATTCTATGGGGCGGTGGCAGCAGCTCTCTTCAAGCTCCACAACCCCACACATCTCCCTCCTATGCCCACCTCATTCCTTTCCCCTCAGCTTCTAGACTATTTCGGCATCGCAACGTGGATATTCTATGGGGCGGTGGCAGCAGCTCTCTTCAAGCTCCACAACCCCACACATCTCCCTCCTATGCCCACCTCATTCCTTTCCCCTCAGCTTCTAGACTATTTCGGCATCGCAACGTGGATATTCTATGGGGCGGTGGCAGCAGCTCTCTTCAAGCTCCACAACCCCACACATCTCCCTCCTATGCCCACCTCATTCCTTTCCCCTCAGCTTCTAGACTATTTCGGCATCGCAACGTGGATATTCTATGGGGCGGTGGCAGCAGCTCTCTTCAAGCTCCACAACCCCACACATCTCCCTCCTATGCCCACCTCATTCCTTTCCCCGCAGCTTCTAGACTATTTCGGCATCGCAACGTGGATATTCTATGGGGCGGTGGCAGCAGCTCTCTTCAAGCTCCACAACCCCACACATCTCCCTCCTATGCCCACCTCATTCCTTTCCCCTCAGCTTCTAGACTATTTCGGCATCGCAACGTGGATATTCTATGGGGCGGTGGCAGCAGCACTCTTCAAGCTCCGATGGGCCTTCCCCAACGGCCCAAGGCCGTATGAGGCTCGTTTCTACCCGCTCCCTCCCGTGATTGCGCTCGTCGCTGCCGTGTGAGTGCAATTATCGCTGCCTTGAGGGTGTGTGTGCTGGTGTGGTGTTTGTTATAGACCCTTGAACACCCCTAGTGGCCCAAGGCCGTATGAGGCTCGCTTCTACCCGCTCCCTCCCATCATTGCTCTCGTCGCTGCCGTGTGAGTGTGGGTGCGGGTGCGGTTGCGGTTGCGGGTGCGGGTGTGGGTATGGGTATGGGTGCGGGTGTGGGTATGGGTGTGGGTATGTGTGTGTGTGTGTGTGTGTGTGTGTGTGTGTGTGTGTGTGTGTGTGTGTGTGTGTGTGTGTGTGTGTGCGTGGTTGTGTGCTATGGAGCTACACACATTCCCAATGGGCCGCGGCCGTATGAGGCTCGCTTCTACCTGCTCCCTCCCGTCATTGCGCTCGTCGCCGCCGTGTGAGTGTGTATGAGAGTATGTGTGTGACTGCACTATTGAGCTTCGAAATCTCTCATCAGCCCAAGGCCCTATGAGGCTCGCTTCTACCCGCTCCCTCCCGTCATTGCACTCGTCGCCGCCGTGTGAGTGTGTATGAGAGTATGTGTGTGACTGCAATATTGAGCTTTGAAATCTCTCATCAGCCCAAGGCCCTGTGAGGCTCGCTTCTACCCGCTCCCTCCCGTCATTGCTCTCGTCGCTGCCGTGTGAGTGTGGGTGTGGGTGTGCGTGTGCGTGTGGGTGTGGGTGTGGGTGTGGGTGTGGGTGTGGGTGTGGGTGTGGGTGTGGGTGTGGGTGTGGGTGTGGGTGTGGGTGTGGGTGTGGGTGGGTATGTGCTGAACACTCGTAATGGCCCGAAGCCGTATGAGGCTCGCTGCTACCCGCTCTCTCCAGTCATTGCGCTCGTTGCTGTTGTGTGAGTGAGGGTGTGTGTGTCGATGTGGGTGTGCGTATGAACACCCCTAGTGGCCGGAGGCCATATGAGGCTCGCTTCTACCTGCTCCCTCCTGTCATTGCTCTAGTCGCTGCTGTGTGAGCGAGGGTGTGTGTGTCGATGTGGGTGTGGGTGTGCTGTATGGGCCTATGAACACCCCTAGTGGCCCGAGGCCCTATGAGGCTCGCTTCTACCTGCTCCATCCCGTCATTTCTCTCGTCGCTGCCGTGAGTGAGGGTGTGTGGATGTCGGTGTGGGTGTGGGTGTGGGTGTGGGTGGGTATGTGCTATGGACCTATGAACACTCTTAATGGCCTGAGACCGTATGACGCTCGCTGCTACCTGCTCCATCCCGTCATTGCACTCGTTGCTGCTTTGTGGGTGTGTGAGGGTGCAATGGTTACTGCTGTACGAGTGTGTGAGTGAGTGTGCAGTGGTTACAGCTGTACGAGTGTGTGAGTGAGTGTGCAATGGTTACTGCTGTACGAGTGTGTATGAGTGAGTGTGTCATTGAGGCCGTATGAGGCTCGCTTCTACCAGCTCCATCCCGTCATTGCGCTCGTCGCTGCTGTGTGAGTGTGCAATTGGTTGATACTGAGTGAAATTGTGAATGTGAGTGTGAGTGTGTGCTATAGAGCTATGGTATGTTATTACCATTGCATGAATGCTCTTGCTGTAAGCTTTTGCATCCTAATGCTCCTCCTATGCAACCTTCATTGCAATATGACTTATGTCCTCCTTTCCCCGTGCTGTGGTGCCTTTGAATGTTACAGATTTCTTGTAATAACGTCGCTATTCGCTCATCCAGTTCCTTCAGTGGCGTCGCTTGGCTTTGTATTTGTTGCTTTCCCTTTGTACTATATTACCAAGTGGTTCCAAGGCCAACGTCAGCCTTCATCCACCAATGCTGTCAATCAGGGTTTGTTGCGATGATTCTTTCTTTCAGGTTGATTTATATCAGTGGATTTTCTTGTATGCTTCCCTTCTCAGCTTCACTGGTATCCCATAAGCTTTATTGGCGTGTGGCTGGCACATACCATGGTTGTTACTGTACATTATCAAACTCGGTTGCGGGCTCGACCACACTAGCGGGGCAACGCGGTTTGGTGGTGAACCAATTGTCCATGCTTCTCACAGCATTTGCTCAGTTACAAGCATGCCATAGAACTGCATGAATTGTATAACTCCACTCAACCGTTCTGAGAAGCATTCAACCATGTTTTCTTGTTCACTACTGCATCAATCTGATTTATGCCGTCACTAGCTATCCATTTGACCCAGTTGCACAGATAAAGAAACACAATCTCGCATGCTACTTTTCTTAAACGTTCGAAATCGCACTTAACCGCTTTTTCCCGCGACCACTCCTACTCAACCGCGTCAAACGACACCGACGAAAACTACATACTGTACTGAATCTGCCACCTAATCACACAGCATTCTTCCCACCTAACAAGCTAGTATCCATTGCACTCAATTGTTGGAACGTCGGATGCGGTTCTTTGACGAGGCCTGTTTGAATGGGTGCGCGCTCGCACCATCTTGTGCGCGAATCTTTCTTCTGGTTGCTCCGGTCGACAAGGCGAGGAGGCGAAGCGCGAAAATGTCAGGCGCGTATTTGGTATCTCCGTTTCCTCGACGCTTAACTCCTTACCGGGCAATGGCTGTTCTGAAAGACGCGCTTGCACTTTAGGAGATGCATCTGATTGCGAAGCTCGTGAGCGACTTCGCATAGATCTAGATCGACGAACATCAGGCTTCTCCGACGAGTTGTCGTCGAGCGGACTTAGACCATACTCAGAAATAACCGTTGCGATTGGGATCGTGTCATAACTGCGCCGCCGCCCCGGACGAGGCGGCACCTCCGCGCCGCGTCTGCCTGAAACCGGCGTGGAGCCAACATTACCATTAGTGATACCATTGGGGGGGCTGAAAGTATTATAATCGCCACTTCTGCATGTAGTACTATCAGCAGATGATGTCGTATCGCTGGGTGCGCTACTGCTTCGAGTGAATCCGATCAAGGATTCTGTCGATGCGCTATTCTTCACTCCAGACACAATCGCAGCTTGCAATGTCAGATCTTGCCAACTGTTGTCGCCGTCTCCCCGCTTATGCGATGCTTCGATTAAGTGGTAAGTCACTCCGCGTCTCAACGGGCGGGAAGGGGGGAGCGGAACCGGCGCAAACGTAGAAAGCGCGACTTGGTGTCGTGGAAAGTCACCCATGATGTCTGCGACGAGCAGGCTGCCTGCGACGTCGTCGTACAGTCGCACGCTTCCATCCGTCAAGACGACGATGACTGGATGCGAGGAACGTTCGGCAAAGCTCTTAGTCCGACGAGTAATCCTGGTTCTTGACATCTCAGTTGGCTTCCGCGAAGCGCCACGATCGGAGCTACCATCATGACTGGGTTGCCGATCATAATCATGCGATAATGGATTATCATAAGTGGCGTCGGAACCGTTACAGTAACTGGAACCGCAAGGTACGTCTTTCCCCGACTGCTCTCCCACCTTCTCCGCGCTTTTCATCCGCCTTAAAGCCAGTTTTCTTTCCTTCACACTGAGAGGCAGGCGGAGCTGGGGTGGGCTGCCAGTGCTCCCCGACGGATGACCTTTTATACGCCTTAACGCGTGCTTCATCTCCGTGACGCTGGGAGGCAGGCAGAGCTGGGGTGGGCTCCCGGATTGAGGAACAAAGGTCGCCGCTGCTGACGTGGCTTGCTCGCCGTCGCGGCGGCTCTCGCAGCCGCTCATGCTTTGGGTGCGACAATGGCGACGACGGCCGTTACTTGCGGCGCGATCCCCGGGAGTGATTTTGCGGTAGCTCTGACTGCGATCGAGACGAGGGATGACGTTATGTTGTTTGCATGCCAAGGTTGAGCCTCGGACTTGTCGTGAATCCATGATGCGGCGAAACTCACGGGGGTAGCTCTGGCAAGCTATGGTAGTACTGTAATGTTGCACAAGGTCTTCGTGTGCGCTCCTAAACAGAAATCCGCTTTTCCGTAAACAGCTCCCCGCAGCCTTATCTTTCTCAAGCAACGCAGTGATTGTCAAAGCGAATCGCGACGAAATCGGTGGAGATGAGTTGATTGGCCACTTGTACGTTGGCCATACTTGGCGTGTACCACCCGAATCTCAAGGGCTGAAGGATGAGTGATGTAGCGTATATTTGTCGCGACGCTACGGTTGCAAACCTGTGCCGCTCACGCTCTTCGCTGCGGTTAGATGGCGCCGACTATGGCCCAAACTACCGCACCTTCTCACGAACCCTCAATCTCAACTTTCTCGTCGTATCCCTCCTGTGGGTGTTACTGCTGTAGAGGACGCCATACGATCACTAAGGACGATCTGTATGGGAAAGACCATATCCAGCATAGAGTTTTCGTCGTATCCCTCCTGTGGGTGTTACTGCTGTAGAGGACGCCATACGATCACTAAGGACGATCTGTATGGGAAAGACCATATCCAGCATAGAGTTTTTGCACGAAGTGGGGAAGAACCAGATTACCCAAGTGGATCGCGGAACTCGTCAATCAGCTGTAACTTTGGCGAACTAGGAGCACCAATCTGCTGCACATGTGAGTGTGCATGGGCGAAGGAAGCGCAGCATAGCGAAAGTTTTTCAGCGAAACGATATACTGTAAGAGTCGCTCTGCGGACAATGTGCTGTCTGTGGCTCGTCCTTCTGGGATCAAATCGAAATCGTGCAATCCTGTCAAGACAGCTGGAGCACACTGGGGATTATTGTCGAGGGGGCTTGAAAACGAGAGGCTATAGAATGGCTGCACTAGAAGTATAGTCCGTGATAGGAATGAAGAATATACAATGTGTCAATAATAACAAAAACAGGGAAATTTCAGCCATTGATTCTTTAATGTTGTTGGGAATAATGTAACAGAAATGAAAGAAATTCTGTATAAACTAGATCGTAATTGCACAAATCCATTATCCTATTTTTATTGTTAACTCAACACTAATTGATGTTGAGTAACGTACTAAGCATTGCAAACTCAACTCCGCACTCAACTCTACAGTACTTTCATGATAGAATAGCAAGCTTTTGGCTTTGCCTTGTGTTGTGGGAAATGCATATCCGTTATAGTGCATTTTTTACCACTCTGAAGTG